TTTTTTTTAATAAGGTGCCTACAAACATTTGTCAAAATGTTTCTATACCCCACATTTGACAACTTCATATATTAAAACATTTGTCTGTCTTCCTGAGTCATTTAGGCCAACACATTTTGGTCTTCCTTTCTTAACAAACCATTAAAATAACATTAAAGCATAAATAAAACAGGTAAGAAACAAAATCAAAGCTAAATACACAGACACGGACAAACGACTGTAAATGCTCTTGATCGTGTCGATGTGTCTGCGGTGGGGAGTATTTTTCCTTTCAAGTAAACAGGGCATTCAGCCTTTTTTGTAACTTTTCTTTTTTACTGTCTAGCTACCACCTCTGCTCGACTACATGAGAACTGCAGACTGAAGGCACCTTAACATCAGTACTCCAACTTTACAAAACAGCATGACATGCCTCTGATCATGGTCGCATTTTTTTCCTTTATTTTTTGAAACATTTTCAATGAAAGCAGCAGCAAGACTTAAGCAACATGTGGACCGAAGGTGCCGTTTCTAACAGCTACAAATAAGAGTCCCAGCAATTTCCAATGGATGGCAGTTGAGAGCTGCAATAGCCTTTCACCCTTCTAATAACAAAAACTGACACTTTGGTGCATCTCTTACAAACACAACTTCTCACACATTCACACACACACGGATAAACGGCTACAACTATTTATAGCTTACGCTTTTCTCTGAAGCTGTGGAACACAAATAAACTACAGCTTTGTAACCAGAGGAATATTTGCACATCAAAATCGTGGTTATGGTGAAAGCAGTAACTCCTGGGTGGTGTGGGCCTGCTGGAAGTTACTTCCTCCCATACATTCTCTCTATGTGATGGAGATAGTGGTTCTTCAGCTCTTTCCTCTTCAACTTGAATGCATCTGTGACTAGGCCCGTTTCAGGCGTCCACGGCTCTGGACTCAGATGCACCTTCACTGGAATCTCAAATCTCTGGAGTTTAACTACAAGGAAGGAAAGTGATGTTCAGGCACGTTTGGACAAAGTATGGATGAAAGCAAAACTTGCAAAGCTTCTATTATCGCAATGCTGTGAAAAGACTCTTACTGTTAGTGGCGACCTCCTTGATCGCCTTCAGGACCTCGCTTTCCATTTCAGGATTAGTGCAGATCTCCTCCCATGTCCCCTCTATGCTCCTCTGTTTGGCCAGTTCTGTGAGCTTTTTCTGATTGGGAACCACGAAGCTGATCACATAGTTCTGATCACTGCAAGGCCACACAATTTAAAACAAACAAAAAAAAGTTTAGAAACTGTTCAACATTACGTCGCATGCCCACCACTGAACAACTACAGACAAAATAATTCATTCAAGTTGCAGCCGTAATCACTTCAGTCTAATTAAGTGCCATATTTAATTGTTCCAATATCAGCTGAAGTCGAAGTGAGCGCTACATTTGTTGATCCAGTCGTCATTAAGACACTTAAACGTCACTTGGAGTTCTCATGTCAGCCAGAGTGCAGGTGACACATCTGAAGTGGGAAGAATTTCATGACGGTTTGGGTGTTCACACTGAAAGCTGTCAGTTCAAGTGTGTAGGCGCAAAAGCCTGTCAGGTAATTATGTATGAACAGTAACAATTTGATTTTATTGGAGCTTGGAGAAGAACTGAGACTGGAAATGATTTAAAGTGTAAACATGAAGGTATAATAAGCACAGGG